TCATTCAGACAAAGAAGCTGAAGCAATTTAATGATAATGAACCAAAACCAACACAGCTGACTTTTCTAAAATCAAAAGAATAATGAACAAACATGTTTTAAACTATAGTTAAGAGGCCATAGAAAATAATTAGATAAAAGATATAGAAATACGCAGGGTCTAAAATATCATTTAAACTGTAAATCTTTTTAGATAAAAAAATAAGAAATATGAACGGTTCATATTTAGATGTATTTTATGGTGATTGCACTTTATGTCTTGATGAGAGTGAGTTTAGAGGAGTTGCTCTATCAGAATAATGTGTATCATTAACCTCTGGAAAGAATTAAGGCGAATAACAAATTCAAGAGAGGTTGATAATTTTATGGCAAGAACAAAGTGACATATTGGCTAAGATATCGAATTATCAAGAGAGCCCTTAACGTTTATGATTAATGTAAACAAAGGGGAAATTATGACTGCGTTGACAAGTCTGTACAGCATGACCTGACTTGACAGAAAATAGAATGTAAGACTGAGGGCTATTAGCCTTCAAATGATGAGGACACCATTGTGTTAATTTGATGCAAGGATGAATTCATGCATCAAAAAGGGGGATGTAATGGTAACAATGGCCAAATATAATATGGTTTAACAATGGCCAAATATAATATGGTTTAGCAATGGCCAAATATAATATGGTTTAGGGGACAAAAATGTCCTAAAAAATTGTTATATAACAAATTGCAGGACTGATTCGATGGGAAGCGCCAGGGCGAAAAGAAACTGTATACTTAAACTCAAAATTTGTTTTTCTCTACAGAGCAGAGCAGATTTTGATACAGGAATGTGCCCAATTGAATAATGACTGTTGAATGTGTCACCTTAGTGGATAACTCTGCTATTCTCCATATAGCTGTAGTAAAACCACATAAAGGAGGTAGAATTACCATGTGATTACAATGTGCTTCACAACTGCATTGACCATGAGAATGCTTTGCTCACAACAGGAACTTTGCACTTTTATCATGCTTCTTAACAAAAACATTGGTGTGGGAAGATTTTGAGCCAGAACACATCTCATACTCACATTCTCATCCTGGCTCCCTGTTACAACAGGGCCAAATTTGCATCACAATTGTAAAACTCCCTAATCTTTGTTTTGAGGCATGATGAATTTACACATAGACACAGCTAAATGCAGACACATAGATAACACCATTTGATAACTGATTTTGTTTTGTTTTACTTTGAGTTTACTTTATTATTTGTTTTGTTTCTGCACATTTGTATTTTGTCCATTTTATTTTCAACAATGTTTTTGGACATTAATTCAATTTAATCTCTGTGTTTGGTTTGCAATGCCAGAAACAGTGTAAGGGCTAGTAAGATCTTCTTTTGTTCTCCCTTGACCATATTTTGGAAGTACATAAATTTAAGATAAATTTGAATCTGACCATTTCAAATCTCTGACCATCAAGAATGCTGTACGCTTTTGTTGTTTGTTGTACCGTATGTTCTTTTGAATCACAGAATTCCTGCTACCTATAGTTCACAACTGTCTCCTGCCTCGGAAAGAGGAACCAGCGTTTGCTCCCAGATTCAGTGCCTTTTCTTGTGGAGGTGTGAAGTTTTTTTGGTGGAACAGTGCAACACTATGTTATAGAACCTCATGCAGGGCTGAAGGGAGAACAAAGACTTAGACCTGACCAGCGGATATTGCAACAAGCCTGGACGGAAAGTCTGGAGATGAAACTACACAACAGAAAGCATATCTTTATGGACGTGAACTTCATGTGGGTGGCCAACGGTGCCAAGGGATGATGCATTTTATTTTCAGATATACAAAAATCGGATATGAAGAGTATAACTGTGATGATACGACTGAAATTTTTCTATTGATTTTTATTATTATGATTATGGGTAATCTGAATGATAAAAAGGGGGAAGTTGTTGTGGAAAAATTTAATATTAACTAATATGAATAATAGCCATCATATGTTTTTCTCTCTCTCTCTCTCACACACACACACACACACACACACACTCACACACAGAGTGGTAGAACAAATGGCCCTGTTTCTTATGTTAATTATAGAGCCCTGGGGTGGCAAGGAGGGGCATGGTCACCTTTTGAGACAACAGATGCGGAAAGTTACAGAAACTAGGAAGGAGGAGTTTTACTGTATAAAACGTCATGTTTGTGGTAAATCAAACAGGTCTTCTGGTTTTCCGAGCTGGGTAGCTGCGGCTCTGAAAAGAGGCCTCCTCACAAGAATAAACCTTTTCTCTTTATTACAGTTTGCCTTTTCGGAAAGTTTCTTATACCTTTGATGCTGTTTTCATTAACCTCTAAAACTTGCCATTACAATTTTAAAAACTTATTAATGTATGCTGAATCAAAGCCAACATTTCAATACTTTCATCAAGGCCTTGGACATGAATACTGTCTGGGTTGAAAAACACTTTTTGCACATTTTCAATACATCACAAGGCATCCTAATGAAATTATTCAGTCATCAGGCCATTTTCTGTTACCTGTGTTTGCTTTAGGCTACTTATTTAAGTCCCCTCTTGTGGTTAAATAAAAACACTCCTGGCAAGTGGCAAAGAACTAACTAAGAAATTCAAATTCCAGTAGCCTATCTCTTACAAATTATATCTAAGCCAAATAATAACATAAACATGTAACGCATGTAAAAGCATGTAAAACAACACATATTTTGTTTGTTTTTTTCCTCACAAACTTAGTTTTTGCTTTTGCTTTTACAGATACACTTTTTAATAAAGTCCTATCTGCATTTTGGTTTCTCCTGTTGGATTTCTGTGTTTTCATGTAACCACAAGATGGTGCCTCAATTAGTAAAGCAAACTCAGGTAACAATACAGGTGACACAGATGATGAGCTGACGACTGATACATGTTATTCTATAGGCTGAGTTAAGATCAGTTTAATTTTGCTAATCTAATCTAACTTGTGAAGTGACAAGGACTTAAATCAACTTCAAGAAAATAGCTCCTAGAAAATATTTACCCTATCCTGACCATAATTACTGATTAAAAATAGACATGTTAAAATAACCTTGATAACCGAATAACCGAGATACTTGAGGACTGTCTGTGATTGGTGATTAGGACTGTTTTTAACAGGATAGACACCTTTATTTGACAGTTATGAGACAGGAAATCATGGGAGAGAGAGAGGATGTGACATGCAGCAAAGGACCGGGATTTCAACCATGGTCGGCTGCGTACGTATACACATTTAACTTCGCTATGCCATGGATGGCCCCCCCACTCTAGCTTTGTGTCCCATCTTGGCCACCCCCCAAAAAATGTCCTGGATACGCCACTGCTCCGGTTATCTCTTATATGGTATAAAACACAACTTTGCTTCTTTTCATCAACGATAAAACGAAATACATATAAAACAGCACTCTGCCTCATTTCATTTATAAATGGACATATTATCATAAACATATTAATGGCCACAAAAATGTGGTTCAGGTAACCTTAACTCACATTGACTATCTTCACTGCATATATTTATAACACGAAATATAAAACACAACCCTGCTTCTTTTTGTTTTCATTTTAAAAATGTGAAACATTATTGATCATTAAAACTGACATTAACAAACAGACAGGGTTGTATCGTTTTATTGTATTACACACAGTGAAGAGAATGTAAAGTAAAAACATACACATTTAAAGAATATTTTATATATTTTAGAATATATAAAATTACACAACCCTGTTTTTTGTTAAATGTCAGTTTTAATGATAATATCCCATTCAAAAGTATAAGTAGCCTAATAGGTAGGCTATAATAAGCTATACAATGAGAAATAAAGTAAACAATTCAGTTAAACATAAGTCAGCTCTCTAATGGGATACAAAGTTAAAGTTAAATAGCCTAAAAGTTAAATATATAAAGTTATGAAACTTCACTTTTCCCTCAGCCAGTTAGCATTGTTTGGTCTTACAAGATAAATAAAAACATGCACTGAAAAGTTATGTAGATGGTTGATTAGGCCTATTTGTCAAGATAAGTAATTGTTTTTCATAGATTAAAATAGCTTTCAAATTACGCAAACTGGCAATATTAGATCGGTTTAAAACATCTCTCCTTAAAACGCTATTGGTCTCGACTATTTAAATAAAGTTACAGGAATATGACTTGGCCTGAAAAAAAAAAAAAAATCAGTCAAAAGAATTTTTTTTTATTTAATCCCTGCATCCAGAAACATTCTCAAATAAAAAAAAAAGATAATTAAATAAAAATGCATGATTAAATAGCAAAATAATAAATAATTAATACTACTGGATAATTAATTCACTGTTTCTATGATCCACATATATTACGTTAAACTAAATCATACCTTTTTGAAAAAGTAGCTATCTTACAAAGTATTATATGTGATATTTTACAATCAATATGCTCAAGACTAATTAGCCTTCCTCGAAATAAGCAGATTTGGTCTATTCATCACTGCAAATTTACTGCAACTGCTGAAATGCAAATTGAATAGGATGTGGGGAAAAAGATGTATACAATTTTATTACAGTTTTATGAATTCATTTATTATATGAATGATTAATATAATTATGCATTTATATAAATAAGGCTGTTCTATTATTATTTGTGAGTTGGACACTAATACATTGGATTATTTTATTTATTACAGTTTTTCTATCACTTTTGTAAAGTGAAAAGTTAATATAAATTGTATTTTATTGTTTTGATTTAGAGCAGTAAATAACTGCTATTAAAAGATAACAGGGTATCACTGTTTATTGCTGATTTTAAAGCTTACTGAACTTGAAATTATTTGGATATCTACAGTTCTACATAAATACACAACATAAGAATGGCCCCTCGGTAATTATTGTGGCCCCTCTTGTGCCCCCCAGTTGAAAAAATCCTAGAATCGCCCCTGGCTCAGTTTTATAACACTGCCATTCATAAACGCGCCAGAGACTTGTATACAAAATAACGCATAGCACGATATTTAGCCTACCTGAGGTTCTCGGGCGTAAAGGCTCTGTTCAAATCCGTGTTAATGTACCTGGTACATTTCTCCACTGCTCTGGGGTTGCTTATGAACGGCTTAGTCACCAGTCTGTTTCTTTCTATCTCGGCTGCATTTTTTATCCACATATTTACCAGCATAATGCCGGACATCTCATTTCCATGTGTGCCTCCAAAAATTGCCACTCGTTTGGCTTCTTGTAAATATGAAATATTAGAACGCGAACTCATAGCGATAGCTGCACTGACGTCCGCGGTTCACGAAAGACAGGGTGCAAAGTTTCCACACAACTGCCGTCAGTGCAATGTGACTACTGTTTATATAACGGTTATTTGAAGGGTAAGCCATAAGCCCCAAGCTTAAGTGCGTCCGTGTCATCTACGTTAAATGCGCATTGGTTGGGTTTCAACACATTCGCAACTTGGCTGCATGTTCGCCATGATCACAAAAACATGAGATTATACGCGAAGATTCGGAGAATAAATAAAAACGAACTCTGTTGGACTATGCACAAGGTAAATGTAGTAGGTCAATTAAAAAAAAAAATGCTGTTAGAGAAGAGTAGCTATTTTACTCAACTCATTGCTAATAAATTAAAGTTAAAAATGAAAGCAAAGCGAATCAAACAAAACTAGGTCAATGAGGTTTAATAGGCTATTAGTAATATCTCTCTAATATGAGAATCAGATGTATTATAATACAAATAAAAATGACCTGTTTTGCCCAGAGGACAACTGGCAACTTTTTTAAATATTCCAAATTTGGATCATTTCTCATAGTTGAATGATTTCTCATTAGGCTACGTAATTGGGTTTTTTTTAATTAAACCGTCTTATGGCTGATGAAGTGAAAGAGTGATAGCAGAACGGAGAGGTCGTAGCGGATTATATATGGACTAATGAGATCACAAGATACACTGGTGCCATCCTAATGTAATGTTTTTAATGTTAATTCAAGCATGAAAGGGAAGCCAGTGCAAATGTGAGAGCATTAGTGTAACATAACCAACCCGGTCTCATCCCAAGACGTCATATAACTGACGTTTTGGGACGTCTTTTGACCATACGTCAATATTCGCCTTTTTAGGGCCCCCTTACACACACTCGACGAGCAGCAGAAATATAGCCATGCCCTTTTTTCCATTCCCAGTGGTGTAGTGCAGGGTATACGCTGGTATACTTCTTACCCACTTCTTCTTCAGTCGGCATCAGTGTTGGGTAAGTTACTCTAAAAAAAGTAATTAATTAGGCTACTAGTTACTAATTACCTCTTCAACAGTGTAATTAGATTACTGTACTAATTACTCTCTCTAAAAAGTATTTAATTACTTTTAATTACTAATTACTTTCAAAATCCCATATCAATCTCAACCAGCTGAATAATACGTATAGACATGAATCTGTTTTAATTCTTTCAAATAAATACTATATAATATCCTTAAACAGACCAAAGTGGAGAAGGTTACATTATAACAACATACTTTTTAACATCAGACAATACATTTTGATGTTAAACCCATTGTTTTATGTCTGATCTCATGACATTTAACACTTTTTTCATACATATTTTACAATAATTCATATGAATTTGTACGAGTGCGGTCGTAATATTTAGACACCTCATAAAATGCATACGAATCACTGTGAGATCGGATTGATCTACACAATATTTACCTCAATTACATCAGAAGTAACTGTAATCAAATTACAGATAAATGAAGAGTAATCCCTTACTTTACATTTTCAAGGGGAAAGTAATTAAATTACAGTAACTAATTACTTAGTACTTAGTAATTAGTTACACCCAACACTGGTCGGCATTGCGTATACCCACTTCTAAAAATCCCCTCGGATGCGCATTGTTTAGTTGCCAATCCAATTTCGTGAATAAAAAACAACCAGTCAGGGTCGTACCCCTAATATTAACTCCCATCACGACGATAACTGACCTTCTGATCTGATCTGCTTCAGCACTCAAACACCTGCTCGTCAGGTTTGAAACCAATCAAAGAATGCAGGATTTGTGTTCACAGAAGCTCGCTTCTGCCGAGCGCTAATCCCAAACGCGACGCTTCACTTCAGTGCTATAAGGTCATCTGGTGGATTGTCATGATAGCATGTTATATTATTTTTTTTCCACAAGAGATCAGCAAAGACACCCAATGTAAGATATTTTGAGCTGAATTAGGCAAGAAATTTTGAGTTATTTTGAATTTTAGTTGAAAGAATGTGAGGAATGTGCTTAAATTACTAAATTCAGGAGGAAGAGTTATCAAATATTGGACGGATAACGGAGCTGTTATCAAACAATGAGCGCCATGCTATGTGCGCAATCAAACAATGTGTGCGTTTTGGCCGCATGTAATCCATCTTCATTTATAAGCTATTTCGTTTACTTTGCTTGTCTATTTTATTGTAATGTTTTTTAGGAAAATGTTATTGTAGTTTTTCAGAAATAATAGCGCAGTAAGCCTTATCTAAGGCCTGTACAATTTGTCTATATGGGAGGGGTTTTTTAGACATTGGGTCTCATTCATGAAACACGAGCAGAACGAATTTGTGTGTAAATCGTGTGTAAAGTGGTTCTGGCATAAATTGTCGGATTCATTAAAATGTTCGTATTTTCCAAATGTTAGTACGCAAGAAATCTACACCTGCTCCAAGCCACGCATAAATGGAATGCGTGTGCTTAACATCCGAACGTTTTGCTCATTAATAAGGCTGCATTTTAATTCACCTTAATCGGGTACATATTTAAACAGCCTTTTGAAAAAAATATTTTATATAGTAATTACATATGTTTTTTCCAACCCGATCTCACGACCAAGTCGTACGAATCCGACGAATGATTAAAAAGTGGCTAATTCGTAACAATTCATACGACCTCACTCGTACGAATTAATACAATTTTGCTAAATCGTACATATTTTACGAATTGGCCAATTCGTATGAATTCATACGAATGACCTACCCCTTACCCCGCCCCTAAACCTAACCATCACGTGGGTTTAGACAAATCGTACGAATTAGTACGAGTGAGGTCGTACGAATTAGTACGAATTAGACACTTTTTAATCATGCGTCAAATTTGTACGAATTGGTCGTGAGATAGTGTTGTTTTTACTTTTATTATGAGAACCAGTAATATCAGTTCCCTTTCGTAGTCACTTCGAGTTACGTCAGAAGTGACGGAGAATGGGGGTTTCGCATGAAAGCCAATCCTCTTCGAGTATTTAACAATGAGCCAATGGCATGCAATGCCTTGGGGCTGCGGAAATTTGCATAGCGTACTCCGCCCTACTCTGTGAGTATAAAAGGAGGAAGTGAACGCAACCGCAGTATGTTTTCGCTTCGGAGCCAAGAGAACTCTTCACTCCTAAAGCCATTCTCACTGATCCAAAGACTCTTCGAGACGAGCGTACTCTTCAGTGTTGGTGTGACGGCGGTACCCAGCGAGACTCTGCATTGCCTGCGATCTGAGCAGTGGTCTGCCAGACTTTGCGCTTCTCCCTGGTCGCCTCAGCGCTAAAAGAGTGAATTTCCTCCTCTCTAGTGAAAGAGCTGCACGCGGCACGTCTTTTTAAAGACAACTCGCCCGTGTTCTTCTGGGTGCGATCGTTTCATGTCATTTTCTGATGGCCGCGATCGCTGCTCTGTGTGCCTGGGCTTTCAGCATGCAGTAGCAGCGTTCGTGGATGACTCATGTTCCTTCTGTGGGAACATGAGCATCTCTACACTGTGATCTAGACTCAATGATCTGATAAAGTAAGAGTCCCCGTGTCCGTTACTCGTTCTGCTTCTAAAAATAGAAGCTCTTCGACTCGCGGACAGGGTGATATGACGGTGAATGTGTGGAAAAAAATATATATAAATAAATAAATAAAAACCGACGCTAGTTCCTCGGGCCACACACACCGCTCCAGTGTTAGAGCCAGTGAGCGCTGTATCGTTTCAGACGTCTGCCTCTTTGCAGGTACCGTCTGTTTCGTTCAGCGCTCCAGAGGATGATGCGATGACGATCGCAGCATCACAAGGCGGGCTTGACTCCTCGGGAAGTGAGGATGCGGCTGCGTTGCCTCCCTCGGGAGCGTCAACGGCGCCGTGTCTGATCCCGCGATGACGGCCATGCTATCTCGGGCCTCCGTGAGCATCGGGTGGGGGTGGACCCCCCAACCCCAATTTCCTTTTTCCCCGAGTTGCATGCGGAACTGACACGCACTTGGGTAAAAAAAAAAAAAAAAGAAAAAGCCCCAAGAGCGTGCTTCAGTTTCCCCACCTGTCCTCCCCTCGGCGACGCGGTTGCCTGTGGGTACGCTGGGACTCCCCCGGTGGAGCGCTCTGTTGCGATGCAGCTGCGTCCGCAGGGCGCGTCCTCCCGCGGTGCTCCCAGATGCCCATCCAAAGCCTATGGGTTCTCGCCGTCTATGGCGGTGCGATCCTGTAGAGCGGCGGGACAGGCAACCTCCGCCCTGCATATGATGAGCACCTGCTAGCTGCTCAGGAATGTGCACGAGGAGGGGACGGACCAAGCGAGCTGCGAGCCTGCCGCCTACCTTTGCTCTCAAACGGGCGACGGAATCGGCCGCTCGCTCCCTTGGTCAGGTGATGCCCACCGCTGTGGTCCAGGAGCATTATCTAAATGTTTCGGTGGTGCGGTCCAGGACTTTGCCCAGCACTTCTCGACTGCCTAGGAGCAGACAGAGGCGGGTTTACACTTCTGCCCCGACGGCCAGCTGCTGCCTCCACCCAGCCGTCGGCTCAGACGCCTCCGCCCGCTCGCCGCCGAGGACGCCCCCCTGCGGCTCCCTTCCCTCCCACGCGGCCCCAGCAGCAGCCTTCAGCCGGTTCGCGTCGTGGAGGAGGCCACAGGTAAGCGTCTCAGCCACCTCAGGCCGTGTGCCCCGCTAACGCCAGGCGAAGCGATGTTCCTGAGGCGGGCTGCTCAGTGGTGGTGTCATGGTTTTTCTCAGGAGGCGGTAGCAGGGCCCCTCCTTCCCCCGGTGGAGGGCCGGTGGAGAATCTTTTTGTTCTAGCTAGCTCCTTGAGCTGGTTGAAGAAAAGCTGACACTATCATTGAGCACACAGACTGGAATGAGCGCGCACGACGTCCAGTGCGTCGCCCCGTTCATTCCTCTCTGTCTCTGAGGGTGCGGATGGGAGCATGTGTCGTCCCCCGACTACACCACTCCCCTCCCCGTCTATCGCCAGACCCCCGGCAGAACAGACCCCCGTGGAACGCTGGTCCTTCCCTGGTCTCTTCTGTCGGGGAACGGGGCTCGACTGTGCATCCGCACAGGGTAACTCCTGTGCACATGCCGGTCTCCCTGTACCGCTGCCCCTCCGGGGGGACGTCTGTGGTTTGCATGACTCCGCTGGTTCAGTTCCTGGGAGCCCGGCTAGTGCTCCCCGACATGTCCCGCTGCGTCATCAGAACGATCAGATTCAGCTACGCGACTCAGTTCGCGAGGTCTCCTCCCCACTTCAGGGGAGTTCGCTCCACGGTGGTTGGTGGCAATGCCCCGGTCATGAGAGCGGAGATTGCGACCCTGCTGGCGAAGGGTGCAATCGAGACGGTCCCTTCAGCCGAGGTGAGGTCCGGGTTTACAGCCCATACTTCACTGTCCCCAGAAGACCGGTGGGTTACGACCGATCCTGGATCTGCGCATTTTGAACCGTACTCTCCATCGACTGCCGTTCAAAATGCTCACAGCCAAACGCATTTTCGAATGCGTTCGGCCTCAGGATTTGTTTGCAGCGATCGACCTGAAGGACGCGTAATTTCATGTCTCCATATTGCCTCGACACAGACCGTTTTCGGTTTGCCTCGAGGCCAGGCATCAGTACACGGTTCTCCCTTTCGGGTTAGCTCTGTCACCTCGCGTCTTCACGAAGATCATCGAGGCAGCCCTTGTTCCCCTTCGCGAACACGGGGTTCGCATCCTGATTTATCTCGACGATTGGCTATACTGGCACACTCTCGAGAACAGCTTGCGAACACAGAGACCTGGTGCTCCGGCACCTAGCCCGTCTGGGCCTTCGGGTCAACCGGGAAAAGAGCAAACTCACTGCTGACTTGTCTTCGACAGTTCGAGGGCAAGAGTGCGGTTCCACTGAAACTGTTTCAGAGGCTCCTGGGGCATATGGCATCCGCAGCCGCGGCAACGCCGCTCGGTTTGCTTCATATGAGACCGCTTCAGCTGTGGCTTCGCAATCGAGTCCCGAGGTGGGCATGGCATCGCGGCTCGCTCCGAGTTCCAGTGACTCCAGCGTGCCGCCGAACCTTCTTCCCCTGGTCGAACCTCAGCTTTTTACGGACCGGTGTCCCTCTTCAGCGAGTTTCCAGGCATCTCGTTGTCTCCACGGATGCATCTACCACGGGTTGGGGTGCCATGTGCAATGGGCATGCAGCCGCGGGTTCCTGGACAGGACCCCAGCACCTCATGCACATCAATTGCCTCGAGCTGCTGGCAGTACGCCTGGCTCTGCACCGCTTTCGAGCACTGCTCAGGGGTCAACACGTACTTGTCCGTTCAGACAACACCGCTGCAGTAGCGTACATCAACCACCAGGGTGGTCTACGCTCACGCCTCCCGGGACTCATCCCACTGCGCCCAGTTTTATTCCCTGTCCGAGGGCCCAGTCGGCACAGATGCACTGGCGCACAGCTGGCCGCGGGGCCCACGCAAGTATGCGTTTTCCCCAGTGAGCCTTCTTGCACGGGTGTTGTGCAAGATCAAGGAGGACGAGGAGCAGGTCTTGCTGGTAGCCCCCTATTGGCCCACCAAGTCGTGGTTCTCCGAACTCATGCTCCTCGCGACAGCACCTCCTTGGACTATTCCTCTGAGACTAGATCTACTCACTCAGAGACGGGGCACTCTGTGGCACCCTCGTCCCGATCTTGGAGTCTACACGTGTGGCTCCGGGACGGGACGGGGCAGGTTTGAGTTCGCTGCCACCTGCGGTGGCGGCAACCATCACTTCCGCTAGAGCGTCGTCCACGTGACACCTGTACGCGTTGAAGTGGAACCTCTTCGTCAACTGGTGCTCTTCTCGCGGAGAAGACCCCCGGAGATGTTCGATCGGGGTCGTGCTTTCCTTCCTGCAAGAAGGGTTGGAGCGTAGGCTGTCGCCCTCCACCCTTACGGTTCATGTCGCGGCCATTGCCGCGTCTCGTGATGCAGTGAAAGGTAAGTCTATGGGAAGCATGACCTGATCATCAGGTTTCTGAGGGGAGTAGGAGGCTAAATCCGCCTCCCTCCCCTCGTGCCCTCTGGGGACCTCTCAGTAGATCTAAGTGCTCTGCAGAGAACTCCCCTGGAGCCTTTGCAGTCGGTAGAGTTTTAGCCCTGTCCTATGTAGACAGCACTCCTGATTGCATTGGCCTCCATCAGGAGAGTAAGGGACCTGCACGCACTCTCCGTTGACGAAGTGTGCCTGGAGTTCGGGCCGGCTTACTCTCACGTGTTCTTGAGACCCCGGCCTGGATATATGCCCAAGGTTCCTACCACTCCCTTCCGGGACCAGGTGGTGAACCTGCAAGCGCTGCCCCTGGAGGAGGCAGTCCCAGCTTTGCACTGCTCTGTCCAGTACGTGCACTCCGCACCTACGTCGACAGAACGCGGTGTTCAGGACCTCAGACCAGCTCTTGTCTGTCATGGGGGGAGCCAGAAGGGAAGGGCTCTCTCAAAGCAACGGCTGTCTCACTGGTTAGTGGACGCCATTGCTTTGTCTTACCAGCAGCAAGGCCGTCCGTGCCCCCTTGGTGTGACGGCCCATTCCACTCGGAGTGTGGCCTCCTCTTGGGCTCTAGCGCATGGCGCCTCGCTAACAGACATTGCAGAGCTGCAGGCTGGGCGACACCAAACACCTTCGCGAGATTCTATAATCTGCGAATTGAGCCGGTGTCCTCTCACGTACTCGCTTCCGCCAGTACTGGACCCGCTTAGGTGTCTTCGCTTGCTCGCCATTCCACTCCCCGGATTGGATAAGTGCGATATTTCCTCAGTGTCTTCCGTTGAAGCCTTGAGTCCTCCAGCACCGACGATGCGAGCACCACTGCTGTTGCTCTGGATGCTGGCTAGGTGCCTCCATGTGCACGGTTCCCTATGGTAACTGTCTCATGTGTATTATCCACTGTAAGCCTCTCTAAACATGTGTCTTCCCTTGGCAAGCCATCTGCCACCCCTGGAGTTAAATTCTAGTAGCCACCTGCGGTTGGTGCTCCAGTGATCTCCATATGTGTTCCTATGCGGCCATATGTGTATTGTAAGCCCTCCTTTGGTAGGCATCTGGTAGCATGTCCCTCCCGGGATATGTTTCCCAGTGTACCTGGGTTCCTGTGTCAAAGTAGGATCCCTGGTTTAAGTTATGTTCAGGGGTCCAGACTTTCGCAGGGCACTGGAAGATAGCTTGAAGATGGCGTGATGGCACTGACCCCCATTCTCCGTCACTTCTGACGTAACTCGAAGTGACTACGAAAGGGAACGTCTCGGTTACGGATGTAACCCTCGTTCCCTGAGTTCCCTGCCACTTCTGCTGTACCGCTGGGTAGACGCCGGAGTTCAGTCTTGGCTCCTCAGCGAAGACATACTGCGGTTGCGTTCACTTCCTCCTTTTATACTCACGGAGTAGGGCGGAGTACGCTATGCAAATTTCCGCAGCCCCAAGGCATTGCATGCCATTGGCTCGTTGTTAAATACTCGAAGAGGATTGGCTTTCATGCGAAACCCCCATTCTCCGTCACTTCTGACGAGGGTTACATCCGTAACCGAGACGATCTGGTGATCGATGGCGGTCCTTCTCCTGTTTGAATACGATTTTTCCGAAGTGAACTAATTCGTTTTTTGCTGTCAAGCTTAATGTTGAACCATTTTCTTCTCACTTCTGGGACTGTTCGATTAACAGATGAAACTCCATTAACTGCATCTGTAATATGCTGCCAAGCTTCCTTTTTTAGGACCTGATAGGCCACTATGTACGCTTGAAAATAAAATGTGGCGTTTTGAATGAACTTCTGATAATAAAACTTCAATTTCTGCATCCGAGAAATCTTTCTTTTTCATTCGCATTCATGTTATTATATGCATATACAGGGGTTGGACAATGAAACTGAAACACCTGGTTTTACAACACAATAATTTGTTAGTATGGTGAGGGCCTCATTTTGCATCCAAATACAGCACCAATTCATCTTGGGAATGACAGATAGAAGTCCTTCACAGTGACCAGAGGGATTATGAGCCGTTCCTCTTCCAGAACAGTGTCCAGGTCACTATATGATGCTGGTGGACTCGCTCCTCCAAAACACCTCAATAATATTTAGATCTGGTGACTGTGCATGTTCAACGTCACTTTCATCTTCATCAAACCCTTCTGTCACAAGTCTTGCTGTGTTTGTTGGTGCATGATCATGCTGATACTGTTGGAGAATTCTGCTTGTCCTATGTACATGTGAAAGAAGAGTGCTGTACATGTGAAAGAAGCATGCTGTGCATGTGAAAGAAGCGTGCATGTGATGTAATGCCAAGCAGAAAAAGCTAGGGTCTTAGGGCACATGAGGACAGGGACGAGAGAGTGGAAAAGTACCCAAAAAACACTTGTAGCACAGATGCAGGTGTTGGGAGGCACTGGGAGAGAAACAGATTGTATACAATGTAACAATGTGCCACTGGGAAAAGTGTACTGAAACAAGGAGCCCATTGTGTAAAAAGAAATGATACGCATGCGCAAGGAAGTTTGCCCCAATTAAAAATAAAATGATAATGCAGGTGTTTTTAATCTGGGAGGAGTACTAAGGAGGCGCAAGGAGATAAAAGATAACAATTTGAGCGCTAATTGGCTACCACAAGGTATAAGAAATGAGTGCAGACCATTGTAAGATCAGATGGCCAGCTGGCATCTCACTTTGTTGAACTGCTCAATAAAGTTGCTTTTCTGAGACCCAAAACCTCGACTCTGCACAATTTCTTCAGGACCTGATCCGGACTTTGATGATTTGAATTGAGACTTAAAATCTGCCACAACATAATTGGCGAGCGGCAGCCAGGAGCTTCGAGAGGGGAGCGGCCGTGGTGACGACGCCTGCTGGTGACCCCACGAAACAAAAGGTCGACCAAAAACAAGGTAAGCAGCTTTTGCTTAATTTGTTTCGTGTGGTCCCTGACAGAGCAGTCACCTTGGTTGGTAATTATTGTTTGATATTTAAATACATGCTAAATAAATTAAACCCCGCCGAAAAACGAACCTAAAAAGATTAAATTTAGTAAGGCAAAAATAAGTGGAAAAGAAAAGTCGAGATCTTGGGTCAAATGAAGAAGAAGCGCATGCTTATGAATGTGTAAATTCTCACAAGAGGTGCTGTGAGAGAACCTATAAGAGGTGCTATAGGTTCATTTGTATGAATGTGTAAATTCTCACAAGAGGTGCTGTGAGAGAACCTATAAGAGGTGCTATAGGTTCATTTGTATGAATGCGTAAATTCTCACAAGAGGTGCTGTGAGAGAACCTATAAGAGGTGCTATAGGTTCATGTGTATGAATGCGTAAATTCTCACAAGAGGTGCTGTGAGAGAACCTATAAGAGTTGCTATAGGTTCATGTGTATGAATGCGTAAATTCTCACAAGAGGTGCTGTGAGAGAACCTATAAGAGGTGCTATAGGTTCATTTGTATGAATGTGTAAATTCTCACAAGAGGTGCTGTGAGAGAACCTATAAGAGGTGCTATAGGTTCATTTGTATGAATGCGTAAATTCTCACAAGAGGTGCTGTGAGAGAACCTATAAGAGGTGCTATAGGTTCATTTGTATGAATGCGTAAATTCTCACAAGAGGTGCTGTGAGATTGCATGTATGCTAGAGTGAGAGCGCGCCGAGAGAAGTGTGTGTGTGTGTGTGTGTAAAGAGGGAGCACGCGCTGGAGAAAAGTGTGTGTGGGAGAGAAGTGTGTGTGAATTATGCTGCAGCTGCTGTAGAAGCGCGCCGGCTGGAAAAGTGCACAGAGTAGAAAAAACTGCAGAGAAGTAGAAATATATATATATGAGCTAATTGGAAAATAGATGAAAGACAAAAGTCAAGACAGTGAAGAAAAATACAGAAAAGCAAATATTGGAAGGCAAAGAATATTCAAAAAATTGGCTTTGTTTGCTTGGACACTCACTAGAGTGTGAGCGCTGTGACCCTGAGAGAGAGACACAGCCTTAGGCAGAAAGATAAGAAGGTATCAAAGTGTTGAATGAGTGTGGTGAAAGTGTGTGAATGAAAACCCGGGTGTGTGAATGAATATACTAACAGAACTAAATAACTAACTAAATAACTAAGTGTGTTTGGATTGAGGTAAAGAACTAAGGAGGGATATCTTTTTATTTTTAATCTTTTGACACCTGAAGATAAGAACACATGTGGACCAGAGTGAGAGATCATTATGAGAAAGAGGATAGGAGAGTACAGAGAGAAAGAGAGGACGAAGACAACTTTAAACAGGCATTAAAACTAACCAAAGTCATTAAGGATCACTCCTGGTTTGAAAATGAGTTTATAGATGACGAAGGGCAGAGACAGGAGTTAACAGACCAACGGAAAAAATAGCTTTTTAAAAAATTGACAAAGATCACAAATTTGAATCATCTTGAGCAAGAATGGCCCTTAATGGATTGGCGTGATGTGATTAAAAAAAAAAAAATATATATATATATATATATATATAAAAAAAAAAAAAAAAAAAAAAAAAAAACAGAATACTCAGACCTAACCTGAACAAATTTAACCTTTTTAACCTGAAAAGAAATGCGTAGTACACTTGGTCTATGATTTTGAGGATTGAGGATTTTGAGGAACATGCATATAGTGATTCCGGGGCCAGTACAGAGGGAAAATTACACAATCGTTAAAGTCAGATAGGGAGGAGAAATCAGACCAGCACTGGTGGATATTTTGACTAGTTTTGAGAAGCAACCCCAACCATACCAGTGGGTAGAAATTCATGGAAAAAAAAAAAAAAAATGTAATGATGGACAAATAGAAGGGGTAGGGGAGGAGATGGGGAGAAAAATCTTAAACAAAGAAAGAAGAAACTTGATATTTATTTATTTGAGCAATTAAATTCAGAAACATGCCATAAAGAGTAATTAAACATTATGGGGAGACTATGAAGTGAAATTTTTAATAATTTTGCTTTTTCGTCTATTTGGCCATTCTTCTGACTGCAGGAGCTGTGATCTGGACTGAGAAAAACAGCCTATTCTGAACAATAATTCGGCTTTGTCTATTCATTGTTACAAGAAAAATAAAGAGTAAAAGTATGTGTGTGCGCGTCCAATGAACAGATTAGGACTGTTTGAAAAATAATGATATTCATTTATGATATTCATTCATAAAGAGAAACTAAAATTATGAAAGAACACTTGTTTCCCTCTCATATAGCACAAGTAAACAGTGACTGTGATCTGAGAAAGAGAGGCAGAAAGGAGGGGCTGCCTCTGACAGAGAGAGGAGGGGCTGCAAAAAGATAGTGAGACTGTGTGGGTGTGAGATGAAGGAAAGGAGGGAGACAGAGAAAGAGTTCAACTTTTCTAGTTCTGACTAGCTTATAAACCAGAAAGTGAGTACCATTTGAGAGATCTTATTTGTAACTGTCATCAGAGGACCTGTAATAGAGGAACTGCGTTTTTAAAATACCAGGGAAAGACTAATCAAATACCTTAATAAATGTCTGACCATCTTGGTGAAAACTAGTTAAGAACAGATGCAATCTGGGGTTTGTAAGGTAAAAAGGTGTGAAAAAAAAAAAAAAAAAAAAGATAATTAAGATTAATGGGGCCGACAACTGTAGATATACCAGGATCAAAATATTAGTTTTGCAACACCAAGGCTATATGAAGAAAGCCTAAAGAGAAGAGAGACATCCAATGAAAGTTTGGCAAATTTAATGAAGGATTTAGAGTAAGACACAGGGACTAATGAATGGATAAAGAAAGGGAAGCCCTGAGAAAAGAGCTGACAAAGATGTATTTCTGAAAGCAAAAGACAGACAATCAAAGGTTAACTCAAAAAGTTGCAAATCAAAAATTTCTAATGATTGGTCACATACATTTTCAATTGGCCTAATTGGGTTTTATGAATTTAATTGTATCAATTGTGGCAACAGTCAAGTGTTCAAAAACAGTTTACAAAGAGATGAAATAGGATTGGTGAATTCTGCTAATCCAGTCAGAATTAAAAATAGGCTAGTTTCAGAATTACAGAGAAAACACCAATAAAATAATTGATAAGAAATTAACGTGAAAGAAACTACTAAAATTGAATAAATGTTAGTTGACCGGTCTATAGGGAAATTGAATTAATAAGCAGGCCTAACAGGGATTGATATGGTGGATTGTGAAAAACTGGTGGCCATCAAAAATACTGGAGTGTTCTACTTTGTATTAGTGGTTTGTGGAGTTCCCAAAAGAATAAGTGACAAAAAGGATTATAGAAATATCTGGCATTTGGAGATATATAAAGTATATACAGAAAAAGAGAGAGACATGCTAGATGTGAGTATGATTGACCTGTTATACTGTATAAAGTCATGGCCTATGATGTTTGTATCTTGTTATCCCTGGGAGACAGTTTGAAATTTGATATATTGTAGAAATGTAGATTTTTGAATTGCGTTATTTTAAATAATACATTGATTGTGTTGAATGAGCAGGATTGGGTGACCAAGCTTAAAAAAAAAAACACTTTTAACAGACGTATACTGTATTGTATTTTATGCATTTTTACAGTAATGAGAGTAATTAATTTAATCCTAAAATGTTTGAGGGAGTAGGGATCGAAATAGCAAGTGATAAAAATACCATATAAGGCAATTCAGACGGACTGATAGGCTGCTATTTTCTGCATTCTGCAAAGAAGAACATGCTTGCTCTTTTCTGCAAAGAAGAACTTGCTTTATTAAAACCGCATGGGGAAACTGCTGTTATCAACCAGATGAGACTTCTGAAATTAAGGGACAATTGAAAGAGATGGTTGAAGAATTTATAAAGTATGAATTTGATTAATGCGAATCTCTGAGTGTTCATTTTCCAGATGACACCAGTCAGCTTTTGGGGCATCTGCCTCGACATGAACAACAGCAACTAGACTGTGCAACAAGTGAGATTTTGGTTGGTGGGCCTTCATCCTCCCTGAAAATATGAAGTTGAAACTTCTGAGGAGCTGGGATAGACAAAGACTGTGTTGATGGAGAAACAACCAAGAAAAAACATCCTGCCATTCTTCAAATGTGCCTCCTCCGTTGCTTGGCCAAAAACCAGGCTGAGGAGAAGCAGAGAGACTACAGCATCCAGTCCAACCACTGTGTCAGAACATGACGCCAGACCCTTGAACGAGGACTGACAGATCAAATGCATTGGATGAGGAGAGAAACATGACAGCAGCCCAACCAGTTCAACTGATCCAAGCAGAAGGACTTCATCCTTTCTTAAGCAGGTGATGCGTCTTAAATGATCACAACAGAGACCGCTTATAGTTTCATTGATTGGCCATATTAATTGTATTTTGATTATACACTGGTCCAGCAGCAGTTCTCTATGTTCTGTTAGGCTAACACTCTATTTGCTTTCTTTCAATAGACGTCAGTCCAGCTGTAAGCATTTAATAATGCTAATAATATAATTAAAAGAAAAGAAGTCAAGTGCTTGCGTCACTAAATAATTAATTAAAGCCGAGACTGGACTTAGCAGAGTGAGAGAATATTGGATTAATAATAATAACAACAAGAGTAAATGCAGCATTAGATTATTTAAGATTTTGTTAATTAAACAGAGAATGTTTGGGCTATGCTTTCAAGGTAGCTGGTATAAGCTTGAGTGATTGTGAGTTCTGTATTAAAAAAGGAGAGACAAAATGTGTCAAACAACAAAAATGTGGATGATAGAGCTATGATGCTGGTCACTCTATCTTGGTCAATAGTCATTTTTGAGAAGTAAAATAGTTACTACACAAATTATAAACACGTGATATCACAAATTTTGATATTACCGGGGATTATACGATGTTGATATTGTGGGTCATGAATTTGAGATTATGATGAGATCTAAAGTAATTTAAAAGATTATTGTCACAGTCTTCGTCTTCACCTGTTTGTCTCGTCATCTGCACGACGCTTCCCCGGATCCTTTTGTTTCCTCTCCTGATCTCACCCCCTCATCAGCCACCTGTTCCTCGTCTGTTCGTCATCATTTTCACCTGTTTGCACTCCATTTAGTTTGATTCCTCTGTCTATTTAGTTCCATCTGATTCAGTCTGTCTTTGTCAGTCGATGTTCATGTTACCCGATGTGTGCTCCTGTTTACCTGCCTTCCTGCCGTATGTTTATAATAAATTCGTGTTTGATGTCAATCTGGATTCCTCCCGCTCCTTCGTCCTGCACTCCTGCACCCCTGCACCACACCCCGTGACAGATCGACTGACCAAGATTTAACTGAGAGTGATGGACCTTCCAGCGGTGAGCCTCCTCTGTTTGGACCAGGAAGACCGCTCCCTGGAGTCCCATACCAGGGACTTTCTGGAGTTGGCGTTCCACACCCACTACCCGGACCTCTCGCTGTGTGTTTTCTACATCGCCAGCCTCAGCGAGCGGACCCGGGCACGCCTCCCAGGGAGCGGTCCAGCCGATGACTTCCTTGCCTGTGTGGAGTGGGTGCTGGTGTGCTGTGAATCCCCATTCTACGTGGAAGAAGTCACCAGCACCACTCCAACCCCTGAACCCTCATCTTCTCTGGTCACCGTCAGCCCTGCCGAGTCCGCGCTCACCGTCAGCCCTGCCGAGCCCGCGCTCACCGTCAGCCCTGCCGAGCCCGCGCTCACCGTCAGCCCTGCCGAGCCTGCGCGCACCGTCAGCCCTGCCGAGCCCGCGCTCCCCGTCAGCCCTGCCGAGTCTGCGCGCACCGTCAGCCCTGCCGAGCCCGCGCTCACCGTCAGCCCTCCCAAGTCAGAACTCCCCTCACTGCTGGTTCCGTCCAGCTCTCCAGAGACTAAATGCTCTTCACCGCTGGTCCCGTCCAGCTCTCCAGAGACTAAAGGCTCTTCACCGCTGGTTCCGTCCAGCTCTCCAGAGACTAAATGCTCTTCACCGCTGGTCCCGTCCAGCTCTCCAGAGACTAAAGGCTCTTCACCGCTGGTTCCGTCCAGCTCTCCAGAGACTAAATGCTCTTCACCGCTGGTCCCGTCCAGCTCTCCAGAGACTAAAGGCTCTTCACCGCTGGTTCCGTCCAGCTCTCCAGAGACTAAATGCTCTTCACCGCTGGTCCCGTCCAGCTCTCCAGAGTTTGAATGCTCTACACCGCTGGTTCCGTCCAGTTCTTCAGAGACTGAATGCCCTTCACTGCTGGTTCCGTCCAGCTCTCCAGAGACTAAATGCTCTTCACCGCTGGTCCCGTCCAGCTCTCCAGAGACTAAAGGCTCTTCACCGCTGGTTCCGTCCAGCTCTCCAGAGACTAAATGCTCTTCACCGCTGGTCCCGTCCAGCTCTCCAGAGTTTGAATGCTCTACACCGCTGGTTCCGTCCAGTTCTTCAGAGACTGAATGCCCTTCACTGCTGGTCCCGTCCAGCTCTCCAGAGATTGAATGCTCTACACCGCTGGTTCCGTCCAGTTCTTCAGAGACTGAATGCCCTTCACTGCTGGTTCCGTCCAGCTCTCCAGAGACTAAAGGCCCTTCACCGCCGGTTCCGTCCAGCTCTCCAGAGACTAAATGTTCTTCACCGCTGGTTCCGTCCAGCTCTCCAGAGATTGAATGCTCTTCGCCGCTGGTTCCGTCCAGCTCTCCAGAGTTTGAATGCTCTTCCCCGCTGGTTCCGTCCAGCTCTCCAGAGATTGTATGCTCTTTACCGCTGGTTCCGTCCAGCTCTCCAGAGACTTTATGCTCGTCACTGCTGGTTCCGTCCAGCTCTCCAGAGACTGTATGCTCTTCGCTGCTGGTTCCGTCCAGCCATCCAGAGACTGAACGCTCGTCACTGCTGGTTCCGTCCAGCCCACCAGAGACTGTAAGCTCTTCACTGCTGGTTCCGTCCAGCCCACCAGAGACTGTAAGCTCTTCACTGCTGGTTCCGTCCAGCCCACCAGAGACTGTCAGCTCTTCACTGCTGGTTCCGTCCAGCCCACCAGAGACTGTAAGCTCTTCACTGCTGGTTCCGTCCAGCCCACCAGAGACTGTAAGCTCTTCACTGCTGGTTCCGTCCAGCCCACCAGAGACTGTATGCTCTTCACTGCTGGTTCCGTCCAGCCCTCCAGAGACTGTATGCTCTTCACTGCTGGTTCCGTCCAGCTCTCCAGAGACTATATGCTCTTCACTGCTGGTTCCGTCCAGCCCTCCAGAGTCTGTGTGCTCTTCACTGCTGGTTCCGTCCAGCCCTCCAGAGACCGTCCAGACCGTCCAGCCAGAGACCGTCCAGACCGTCCAGCCAGAGACCGTCCAGACCGGCCAGCCAGAGACCGTCCAGCCCGTCCAGCCAGAGACCGTCCAGCCCGTCCAGCCAGAGACCGGCCAGACCGTCCAGCCAGAGACCGGCCAGACCGTCCGGCCAGAGACCGTCCAGACCGTCCGGCCCGAGACCGTCCAGACCCTCCAGCCCGAGACCGTCCAGACCGTCCAGCCCGAGACCATCCACTCCCCATCTGCCCTTCACCCGGGGCCTCAACCCAAATATTTTTTGGGGGGGGCCCAGTGTCCCAGCCACGGCCGCCTGAAGGGCTCTCACCGCCGTGGCCGCCCGAAGGGCTCTCACCGCCGTGGCCTCCCGAAGGGCTCTCACCGCCACGGCTGCCTGAAGGGCTCTCACCGCCGTGGCCTCCCGAAGGGCTCTCACCGCCGTGGCCGCCCGAAGGGCTCTCACCGCCGTGGCCTCCCGAAGGGCTCTCACCGCCACGGCTGCCTGAAGGGCTCTCACCGCCGTGGCCTCCCGAAGGGCTCTCACCGCCGTGGCCTCCCGAAGGGCTCTCACCGCCGTGGCCGCCCGAAGGGCTCTCGCCGCCACGGCCTCCTGAAGGGCTCTCTCCGCCGTGGCCACCCGAAGGGTCCTCGCATCCTGCTCCGCCCTGGCCACGCCCTCATCCTGCTCTGCCCTGGCCACGCCCTCATCCTGCTCCGCCCTGGCCACGCCCTCATCCTGCTCCATCCTGGCCACGCCCTCATCCTGCTCCGCCCTGGCCACGCCCTCATCCTGCTCCGCCCTGGGGGGCTGCCTGCGCCTGACCACGTCCTCCACAGCCTCCAGGGCGCCCACCCCCCCTCCCCGCTGATGTTACGGCGTGAGGTCACGCCTACCGGGAGGGGGGAGTGATGTCACAGTCTTCGTCTTCACCTGTTTGTCTCGTCATCTGCACGACGCTTCCCCGGATCCTTTTGTTTCCTCTCCTGATCTCACCCCCTCATCAGCCACCTGTTCCTCGTCTGTTCGTCATCATTTTCACCTGTTTGCACTCCATTTAGTTTGATTCCTCTGTCTATTTAGTTCCATCTGATTCAGTCTGTCTTTGTCAGTCGATGTTCATGTTACCCGATGTGTGCTCCTGTTTACCTGCCTTCCTGCCGTATGTTTATAATAAATTCGTGTTTGATGTCAATCTGGATTCCTCCCGCTCCTTCGTCCTGCACTCCTGCACCCCTGCACCACACCCCGTGACAATTATGAGGAGAAATTAAATGAACAGATGAATGACAAATTAGATTAGATAAACTGATAATCGGTCTTTTAAACAGTTGACCTACCAGATAATTTGTTATATTATATATTAAAAAAAGTGAGGTTTATGACAGAGGTGTTTAACACAATCAAATGGCAACTGATGTCGGCCAGCTGTGTTGTTCAAAGACGTGGACATTGTCACATGGGGAATGCTACACCACAATATTCAGTAGCTTTTGTCATCAGAGTTGTATTAACAATTTTGTATTAGTGATATTCGTACCTTGAAATTTAGGATAGATAATTGAATATAAAATTAAGTCTATATCAGATAAGTCCAGAAGGCAGCAACACCCTCAACTTTAGATTGGACAAATGAGGTATTAAAGGAATTAAAATAATTACACTGGCAAACCTTTTTAATTTAAGATGTGCGTGGTTTTTTGACCATCGCACAAAGGGGGGAAGTGAGTAAAAATATAAAAAGAGAAAAAAAAAAGAAAGAAATTTGATGATAGATGATTTTAAAAGAAGATTGATGATAGCCAAATGCAACATTTCTAAACAACGTCAGAATTGGTGTTAGAATAGATTTGATTGCCATGGAAGGACTTATGATAGCTCCATTACCACTACTGAACATCCTGATTCCTGATGCGCACAGACAGTTTTGATCACTGTGCAAGGGGGGAAATGTGAGAAAGATAAAAAGACAGGGAGTTTGGTCCCCATACTTACAGACAAGGGTAGATGAATTTTCAAATGAATGTGAAATAATGTCAGAAAAGGAACAGCAACCCCAATAGGCTCTATTCCAGAAGGACCTTTCAAGCATCTAGTGATGGATTGTTACAGCCAAGATGGAGACCATATGCTAGAGACGAGGCAGCAGCAGGACTTAAATTAATATTTGTATAGATAACGCCAAATAAGAATATGGAATGGATTCATTACATATAGTACAATCAGCAGAGATTTATTAATTACACGGATGAAGCACTCGAAGCTCTAGGAGAACAACTAAAAGACACAAGCAAAATGACCTGGCAGAATAGACAAGCTCTGAATTGGCTCCTGGCAGACACAGGAGGTGTGTGCGTAATGTTTGAAACTGACTGTTGTACCTTTATTCCTAAGCGGGCACAGACCTGGATGGATCATTTACTAGGGACATGAAGAAGATAAAAGAATTAAGACCGGAAGTTGCTACCAATGCGGGGAGAGACAGGAGCTTTGGGTATTGGCTTGACTCAATATTTGCATCCTGGAAAGACTGGCTCATTCAGGTGGGAATAATATTAGCAGCATCAGTTGGTGTTTTCTTTCTGTTGTTTTGTTGTGTTGTGCCTTTTCTCAGATCAATGCTGGCCAGTGCAGCTGCCAAACACATGATCAATGAAACAGTGAGACCAACTGGAGTTGACATTGGATGTGTCAATGAAGAGATTCACCCAAGTGCCCCAGACCTGGATGAGCTGGACGAGTTTCTGTAAAGTAACTAACTGAGACCATATGGAAAGATGGTACCTTATTACTTTTTGATTTTTTACATTTTTACGCTGTTTATGGTTAGAGAGGGAGATAGCCCCACTGTGTATTTTGATTTTGGGGATAAAATCAGTTAGAACATTTAGTGCATGGGTAGAGTAGGCAGTTAGTTAGAGGGGTTTTTTTCTACATTCCTTTGATTTTGTATAAGGGCTGTCTTTCTGGGAATATTTACACTCATATAATCTCTTTCTATATAGCATGCTTATGTAATCCACAAGAAATATTTTTACTATAATCACACCACTGGTCACAATTATAAGTATGTGAATGTAAGGGGATGCTAGAAGGTCTGAAACAGGTCATTGTCCGTGGTACGAGATAATGCAACCAGAAAAAATGAAAAGTCAAGAATGTTTTATTATTACTACTCACTTTATGTCACGGTATATACCACCTTTTGAGTATATTCATATATAATGTGTTATGAAACTAAAAGAATGAAGGAAAAGGATTAGAAGGAATGTAAGAAGAGATTAAAAGTAAGTTCTTACTTTAAAGAAATGATGCAGTATGAGGGATTGAGATACAAATGTTTTCATTGTCATTGTTTTTTTATATATATATATACAATCTATACTCCTGAAAGTAGTATGTAGAAGTGCATTAAGGAAAAAAGAAAAAAGAGAATGGTGATATTTTACATGGTTGGAACATGTACATGTGTGTAGTAGATAGAGGAACTATACGTGAAGCGCGGTCACCGATTGTCAAAGAAGGCAAGGGCAGACTCAACTGGTGGTTTAAAAACCCGCTGTCTGCTCCAACACCAGATAGCGCTCCAAGGCAACTTGAGCACCTCTGGCAACGATGGAGCAACCCAGATAGCACTCCAGGCCACCGGAAGCGCCTGCGAAGTTCCTCTGGCACCGTGGGACAAGATAAAGATTCAAAAATGCAGGGAAACACAAAGAAACATGCCTCTTAAGCTGATGATGTAAAAAGGAGGGTAGGATCTTTTACTCCACTCTAGTCAATGGAGGGTGGAGATGTTTGGTCCTGCTTCTCCTCCAGGGTGCACCTATGTGATGTGGGTTAGATTGGTAAAAGGTGAATGGTCTATATTGACCATATTGGTAGAAGGAGAGAAGACCGACTCATAGAGATGCATCCTGGGCACAATTATTGAGTGTGGGACTAGAGAAAGTCCCAAAGGGGGGCTATGTTGGAGAATTCTGCTTGTCCTATGTACATGTGAAAGAAGAGTGCTGTACATGTAAAAGAAGCATGCTGTGCATGTGAAAGAAGCGTGCATGTGATGTAATGCCAAGCAGAAAAAGCTAGGGTCTTAGGGCACATGAGGACAGGGACGAGAGAGTGGAAAAGTACCCAAAAAACACTTGTAGCACAGATGCAGGTGTTGGGAGGCACTGGGAGAGAAACAGATTGTATACAATGTAACAATGTGCCACTGGGAAAAGTGTAATGAAACAAGGAGCCCATTGTGTAAAAAGAAATGATACGCATGCGCAAGGAAGTTTGCCCCAATTAAAAATAAAATGATAATGCAGGTGTTTTTAATCTGGGAGGAGTAATAAGGAGGAGCAAGGAGATAAAAGATAACAATTTGAGCGCTAATTGGCTACCACAAGGTATAAGAAATGAGTGCAGACCATTGTAAGATCAGATGGCCAGCTGGCATCTCACTTTGTTGAACTGCTCAATAAAGTTGCTTTTCTGAGACCCAAAACCTCGACTCTGCACAATTTCTTCAGGACCTGATCCGGACTTTGATGATTTGAATTGAGACTTAAAATCTGCCACAACATAATACAGTTTGAGCATCAGGTGCTCATGATCCTCCAGAAGGGTTTGGTAGTCCTCGGCAGTGTCGTGTCCATCAAATACAATCAGGATTGTCATGACATTGGAGCTCAAACCATCACTGATCCACCCGTGCTTCACTCTGAAGATTGGCCATCAGGCATATAGATGTGAAACCTCCAACATTGGCCAGTGTTTCAGTTTCATTGTCCAACCCCTGTAGATGTCAGTCAGATATAATGGGCCTGATTTATGAGAATGAACGTGCACGTGCATCCCATTTACGACTGGTTGGAATTCACTGACACACACACACATTTTACAATCACATCTGACGTTTACGAAGTATTTGTGAATCAGGAGAAGAGTTTTCGGGAAGGTCTCTTTACACGCAAATCACTCTCATATTTACTCGCATATTTACGAATGTTTTATGAATAAGACCCATTGTATTTACTCTGTGCATATACTGTATAATGTTACTATGATAAAGGCTCCAGTAATAATTTTGCAGTTGCAGTCCTATGACTTGAACGTAAAATATGCACACATGATGATGAATAGCTAATCTTTATTTCATTATTAGAAAGGCTGTACAGCTTTTGATATGTGGGAATCTACAGTAAACTAATGACAAAATCTGTGTGTTTTAGTCTAAATCAGGAAACCGCAGAGCAGCCGAGTACATCTGCGAGCCCTGCCTTAAGGTCGCATCATAGGGGAAGGGGAAGGAGGCAGTCACACTTTCACCTGTCAGATGTCCAGCACCACCAGACCAGCTGGAACAAGGATGGAAGACCGAAAATGATCCTGATGTGGCCCCCATTCCACAGTTTTGCCCCGACTGGAACCTGGAGTGCAATTGGACACCTCCACAGAGCAAAGCCCCCTCAGCCTTTTCAAGCTCTTTTTTTAGAGCTGATTCAAGGACATTGTGTGCCAAAGCAAACAAGCTGGCAGAGAGAAACATTGCTGCTGGGAAAAGGTCCAAGTGGACCACCATCAACCCGGCAGAGAAGTTCAAATTCATTGGAGTTCTAAAGCTCCCAGCAGTAAGAGAATATTGGAAGAGAAAAAAACATTTTTTACAATCAAACATCAAATATTGAAACATCAATATTTCAAGTCTTTTAAATGCATTGCACAGTGCCATCTAGGGGTGGTTTTTGGATATTTTGTAAATTGAGACTATAGAGAATATTCCATTTTAATGAACATTTGGTTCCCTTTATATTCTTATTTCTGTATTTTTCACAAAAAAGTATGGTGACTGCAGTCACAGAAATGTAAATATTTGTTTTGTTTCTTTATACTTTTTCACCCAATTGTTTTTGCAGGTGTTCTAAAGCCTTTGAGGAATAAATATTTGTTGTGAATAACTTTCTTTATGTTTCGTATTTTTATAAAATAAAAAAAATAAAAATTCTGTTTTTGTATTTCTTGGTGATCACATATCACATTTTAACACATATAATTGTCTCAAAAAGTGTATTGTCAATGCATCCACATTGTAGCTGAGAATCTACAGAATCCAGAAATATGTCTCTATTTACTCTGCTATGAAAATTGACCATTCCAGAAGCCATACATCCCCTTAGACTTTGAAGTGCAATATCTATGTAAATTCATATTATTTACAAAACTGTAAATGTTTTTTTTCTGCCTAAACCTGTTTTATTCTTAAAATTGATTGTGTCTTCTTGTTGTATTTATATGTGTGCACTGCAAGATTCAAAACCAAGATTCCCTGTTTGTAGCCTACAAGCACACTATAATTAAAGCTCTTTCCGACTTTGATTCTGAACTTAAGCGACTACACCCACCATACAGCACGGATGTGAAGTGTTCTCCTGATTTCTGATTCTCCATATGATCTCTGATTGATTCTCAATTCCATGATCCCTTTAAATAAGAGATTCAGGTTTGAAAACCACTGCTCGAGATAAAGGTCACTTATTCTTCTCAGCGGCCCATAATATCAGTTCAGTTGGAGTGTCTTGTAATTTAAGCTCCTGTTGCTGATTCCATTCCTCTGTGTGGCAGGTTTCATCCTCATCATCATCTCCTTCCTCCTCGTCCTCCAAGCCGCTCTTTGTCCCCACTGGAATCATGTGGCCATGAGACTCCAGCAGGTCAAGCTGGTTAAAGCCTTCTGGAAACTCCATCACTGAGCGAGAGAGAAGTGAGATATGAGATGGGACACCCAAAAAGTAACGTCATTTGGATTTGGACCCTTTTAAAGCATGGCAGAGAGAGAGACCCTTTTTGGGTCACCCAAAAAGTAACTTCATTTGGAATTGGACCCTTTTAAAACATGGCAGAGAGAGAAGTAAACAGCCTGCAGGCCGGATTTCCCGATAACGATGTATCTTAGCTCTTAAGAGCGCTCTCTACGTGCAAGGTTACGAACGATCGCAGCAATTCCACGTGTGTTTCCCAAACATGCACTTAACATTAACGCGCGAGAACGCGTTCTACGTGCTACTTAAGCGTCGCTATCCATTCCCGAAGTGCTGAAATATAACCTTATATAACCTAAGTATAACCTAAATATAACCTGAAATATAACCTAAGTCGTATTTTGAACCTAATAATCGTCATTTGTTGTGGATTAGAAATCAAGACAAATCTATATGGATATAAAACACCTATACAGGCTGACAAAATGGCTGAAAAAAAAAAAAAACAAGAGAAGATAGGCTACCTTTCAAAAAGATAAAATTAATGTCCTTCCAGAGGAGATAGAGGGAAACAAAGATTTTATTTTTAACAGATTTAAAGGACACCATACAAATAAGGAAAAACAAAACATCTGGAAGGACATGTCACATTGCAAACTAACTGCAACCGTGTTCAAAGATCAGGGAAGGAGATCCAAAACATGGCTGGTTTTCGTGCACGTCAGCAAGTCATTGACAGATTTTTTTTAATTCATCACTATTTTGCCCGGTCTTTAAAGCATATTTCCCAGATTACTTAGCCTATTTTATGATTTTTTTTTTCATTCGTTTAATTTAGATGTGTAGGCTATTTCTATTTTTTTCTTCCCTTTTTAATTATTTAATTTATTAATTTAAACAAAACACGAGTACAACAAAGTGTACAATCAAAACCTATATATTATAGGCTACTTACGTTGCATTGTAATCTATTGAATAAAGTGTAATCTGCCGGTTGTCCTGCAGGTGACCTCATAACTCTGTCTTCTTACGATGCACTTGGGGATGTACGATTACTCCAGAGCACTCGTAGTTCTACGAAGATTTTCAAGTGCTACTTAAGTTACGATGCTTTTGGGAAACAGAACATAATATTAAGATCATTCGTATGATCGTTTTTACGATCAACTTACTTACCCCTTCTCCACAGCACCGAAAATTCTCCAGCGGAGCTCAACGGCTTACGATGCTTTTGGGAAACGCAGCCCTGATTGAGAAAAAATGATCAAACAAACAAAACGGTTATCATTAACTTAAATTTAGGGTTCCCAAGTTTATCAATAATTACAGACAAACATTAGTTGCTTATGGGTTTTTTTTAACATTGTTTAAATCGTTTAGATGTCAAATTCATGTTTATGATATTGCTAGAAAAAAAATTAATTTGAATAAGGACTACATTGACGTACATTGGTTTTCTATAATTTAACATTAGATACCATAATTGTTTCATAGTGCCACCACAGTAAGTTACCTTCTTATTTAGTAGCTGACTGACAGAAAGATCACTTTCTATCGATGTTACTCTTATTTAAACTAGTAAACACTTGCTTTTCATTGAATGACAGGCATTTTCCAAAAACTCATCGATGACCAGCTGTGTTCACGTTGAGCACAGCATTCTATTACCAAAATGACTGTGTTATTCTAAAATCTTTGCTATTACCAGAGAATGTCTGCTTTTACTCTTCTGCTTCTTCTTCTTCCTCCACTTCTTCTTCTTTATGGCGGTTGGTAAACCAGTTTAAGGTGCATTTCCGCCACCTACTGGGACGGGAGTGTGAAGCCTCGATAAACGAAAGGGAAAAAAATAAATCAAATAAAATGAAAAAGAAAAAAAAAGACGAAATCCTTCTAATAAACTCTGTATCTCTTAAATATTTTAAAATCAAATTATACACCAAACCGTTTCTGTGCATTCTGAATATTATTAACTGTAAAGCTTCTGTGCAATGCGTGCATAAGCAGATTGCATGGAACATAGCTTGAACAGCACTTTGGAATGAGTTAGTTATTGAATGCATTGAACTAAAACAAAATTGCATATTACTTTGATCGTATTTGCAATGCAATTCCTAGCAAATTCCATTGCATATCTCCCTAATGAGCTAGTTCTTGAATCCATTACAATGCAACAAAGGACACATTTACTAATATGTAATTTTTCAATGCAAAGCGCTTGATCATCTGTGCAATGCGTGCATAAACAGATTGCATGGAACATGGCTTGAACGCACTTTGGAATGAGTTAGTTATTGAATGCATTGAACTAAAACAAAATTGCATGTAACTTATTCTTCAATGCACAGCCTTTGATCGTATTTACAATGCAATGCCTAGCAAATTCCATTGCATATCTCTCTAATGAGCTACTTCTTGAATCCATTACAATGCAACAAGGACATATTTACTAATATGTAATTTTTTAATGCAAAGCACTTGATCGTCTGTGCAATGCGTGCATAAGCAGATTGCATGGAACATAGCTTGAACGCACTTTGGAGTATAGTTATTGAATGCTTTGAACTAAAACAAAATTGCATATAGCTTATTCTTCAATGCACAGCCTTTGTTCGTATTTACAATGCAATGCCTAGCAAATTCCATTGCATATCTCTCTAATTGAGCTAGCTCTTGAATCCATTACAATGCCAACAAAGGACATATTTACTAATATATAATTTTTCAATGCAAAGCGCTTGATCGTCTGTGCAATGCGTGCATAAGCAGATTGCATGGAACATAACTTGAACGCACTTTGGAATGAATTAGTTATTGAATGCATTGAACTAAAACAAAATTGCATGTAACTTATTCTTCAATGCACAACCTTTGATCGTATTTACAATGCAATGCCTAGCAAATTCCATTGCATATCTCTCTAATGAGCTAGTTCTTGAAACCATTACAATGCAACAAAGGACAAATACACTAATATGGAATTTTTCAATTCAAATCGCTTGACCTTATGTGCAATGCGTGCTTAAGCAGATTGCATGGAACAAAGTTTGAACGCACTTTGGAATTAGTTAGTTATTGAATGCATTGAACTAAAACAAAATTGCATATGCTTATTCCTCAATGCACAGACTTTGATCGTATTTACAATGCAATGCCTAGAAAATACCATTGCATATTTCTCTAATGAGCTAGTTTTTGAATCCATTACAATGCAACAAAGGACATATGTAATTTTTCAATGCAAAGCGCTTGATCGTCTGTGCAATGCGTGCATAAGCAGATTTCATGGAACATAGCTTGAACGTACTTTGGATAGAAATTATTGAATGCATTGAACTAAAACAAAATTGCATATAACTTATTCCTCAATGCACAGCCTTTGATCTTATTTACAATGCAATGCCAAGCAAATACCATTTCATATCTCTCTAATGAGCTAGTTCTAGAATCCATTACAATGCGACAAAGAACATATTTACTAATATGTAATTTTTCAATGCAAAGCGCTTGAAGAATAAGTATATGTAATTTTGTTTTAGTTCAATGCATTCAATAACTAACTCATTCCAAAGTGCGTTCAAGCTTTGTTCCATGCAATCTGCTTATGCACGCATTGCACATTAGGTCAAGCGATTTGCATTGAAAAATTCCATATTAGTATATTTGCCCTTTGTTGCATTGTAATGGATTCAAGAATTAGCTCATTAGAGAGATATGCAATGGAATTTGCTAGGCATTGCATTGTAAATACGATCAAAGGCTGTGCATTGAAGAATAAGTTACATGCAATTTTGTTTTAGTTCAATGCATTCAATAACTAATTCATTCCAAAGTGCGTTTAAGCTATTTTCAACTAAAACAAAATTGCAAATAACTCATTCCTCAATGCACAGCCTTTGATCGTATTTACAATGCAATGCCTAGCAAATACCATTGCATATCTCTCTAATGAGCTAGTTCTTGAATCCATTACAATGCAACAAAGGACATATTTACTAATATGTAATTTTTCAATGCAAAGCGCTTGATCGCATAGCTTGAACGCACTTTTTAATGAGTTAGTTATTGAATGCATTGAACTAAAACAAAATTGCAAATAACTTATTCTTCAATGCACAGCCTTTGATCGTATTTACAATGCAATGCCTAGCAAATTCCATTGCATTCTCTCTAATGAGCTAGTTCTTGAATCCATTAAAATGCAACAAAGAACATATTTACTAATATGTAATTTTTCAATGCAAAGTACTTGATCGTCTGTGCAATGCGTGCATAAGCAGATTGCATGGAACTTAGCTTGAACGCACTTTGGAATGAGTTAGTTATTGAATGCATTGAACTAAAACAAAATTGCATGTAACTTATTCTTCAATGCACAGCCTTTGATCATATTTACAATGCAATGCCTAGCAAATTCCATTGCATATCTTTCTAATGAGATAGCTCTTGAATCCATTACAATACAACAAGGACATATTTACTAATATGTAATTTTTCAATGCAAAGCACTTGATCGTCTGTGCAATGCGCGCATAAGCAGATTGCATGGAACATAGCTTGAACGCACTTTGGAATGAGTTAGTTATTGAATGCATTGAACTAAAACATAATTGCATATAACTTATTCCTCAATGCACAGCCTTTGATCTTATTTACAATGCAATGCCAAGCAAATACCATTTCATATCTCTCTAATGAGCTAGTTCTAGAATCCATTACAATGCGACAAAGAACATATTTACTAATATGGAATTTTTCAATGCAAAGCGCTTGAAGAATAAGTATATGCAATTTTGTTTTAGTTCAATGCATTCAATAACTAACTCATTCCAAAGTGCGTTCAAGCTTTGTTCCATGCAATCTGCTTATGCACGCATTGCACATAAGGTCAAGAGATTTGCATTGAAAAATTCCATGTTAGTATATTTGCCCTTTGTTGCATTGTAATGGATTCAAGAATTAGCTCATTAGAGAGATATGCAATGGAATTTGCTAGGCATTGCATTGTAAATACGATCAAAGGCTGTTCATTGAAGAATAAGTTACATGCAATTTTGTTTTAGTTCAATGCATTCAATAACTAATTCATTCCAAAGTGTGTTCAAGCTATGTTCCACTAAAACAAAATTGCAAATAACTTATTCTTCAATGCACAGCCTTTGATCGTATTTACAATGCAATGCCTAGCAAATTCCATTGCATATCTCTCTAATGAGCTTTTTCTTGAATCCATTAAAATGCAACAAAGAACATATTTACTAATATGTAATTTTTCAATACAAAGCGCATGATCGTCTGTGCAATGCGTGCTTAAGCAGATTGCATAGAACATAGCTTGAACGCACTTTGGAATGAGTTAGTTATTGAATACATTGAACTAAAACAAAATTGCATATAACTTATTCTTCATTGCACAGCCTTTGATCGTATTTACAATGCAATGCCTAGCCAATTCCATTGCATATCTCTCTAATGAGCTAATTCTTGAATCCATTACAATGCAACAAGGACATATTTACTAATATGTAATTTTTTAATGCAAAGCACTTGATCGTCTGTGCAATGCGTGCATACGCAGATTGCAAGGAACATAGCTTGAACGCACTTTGGAATGAGTTAGTTATTGAATTTATTGAACTAAAATAAAATTGCATGTAACTTATTCTTCAATGCACAGCCTTTGATCGTATTTATTTACAATGCAATGCTGAGCAAATTCCTTTGCATATCTCTCTAATGAACTAGCTCTTGAACCCATTACAATGCAACAAAGGACATATTTACTAATATGGAATTTTTCAATGCAAAGCGCTTGATCGTCTGTGCAATGCAGATTGCAAGGAATATAGCTTGAACGCACTTTGGAATGAGTTAGTTATTGAATGCATTGAACTAACGCACTTTGGAAAGAGTTAGTTATTGAATGCATTGAACTAAAACAAAATTGCATATAACTTATTCTTCAATGCACAGCCTTTGATCGTATTTACAATGCAATGCCTAGCAAATTCCATTGCATATCTCTCTAATGAGCTAGTTCTTGAATCCATTACAATGCAACAAAGGACATATTTACAAACGTAATTTTTCAATGCAAAGCACTTGATCGTCTGTGCAATGCTTGTATAAGCAGATTGCATGGAACTTAGCTTGAACGCACTTTGGAATGAATTAGTTATTGAATGCACTGAACTAAAACAAAATTGCATATAACTTATTCTTCAATGCACAGCCTTTGATCGTTTTTACAATACAATGCCTAGCAAATTCCATTGCAAATATCTCTAATGAGCTAGTTCTTGAATCCTTTACAATTCAACAAAGGACATATTTACTTATATGGAATTTTTCAAGGCAAATCGCTTGATCTTTTGTGTAATGCGTGCATAAGCAGATTGCATGGAACATAGCTTGAACGCACTTTGGAATGAGTTACTTATTGAATGCATTGAACTAAAACAAAATTGAACATATCTCTGGCCAAAGGGTCCTCAACATGGTTTTTTTTTTTTTTTTTTTTTTTTTTTACTATATAAACTCATGGACACCTTCTGATTTTACGTCAGCCATACCAGCAGTCTATTTTTGACCTAATGAACATATTTTTAGCCAAGGAGTCCATTTTGAACTTTCTAAACATTCTCATTGACTATTTCATATGTTACATCACCCAGCCCATATTTGTGTTACATGTGTGTCCTGTGGTTCCCCATTCTTTGTGTATTTGGTTCAGTCCTGTTTCTAGTTTCCCGCTCCTCGTTTGTATTCAGTCCCTTCACCTGTGTTTGGTTAATTTGCCCCAGCTGTGCCTTGTTCCCCTAGTCTG